TGCACGGGGCGCACCCCCTTCTCAACCGACAACCGATGCACCGCTATTTCAGGGCTCACCCCCGGCATTTCGCGTGCGCTCCAGGCGAAAAGGTCTGCAAACTCTTTCAGCAACCCCACCAGTGACTCGGCTGCCTCACCACTTGTATGGGCGGAGATACGCACACACCTCTCCGGTCGCCCGTCGTCCAGAGGCACTTGGATCTCTGCATCAGCCGCCTCCGCTCTCGGTAAGTCTTCGGGACGCACGTCTATGTTGTACATCTGCATTCTTTTAACGAGCCGGGCCTCCTGCGACGCCTCGCCCCTGGACACCCCGACCCCCTTCGGGGTTACAAATTTCAAGACTTGGTGACACGGCGACGCCACCCCGTTAAACAGGGCTAGGAGTGGGCGCCCCAGGATGGCGTTGTAGTTGGAGGGACAGTCGACGATGCCAAAATCGACAGTGTGCGTGACCCGATGCTCCTCCTCCTCTAGCGTGACGGGGAGACTCACGTGCCCCACGACTTGCGCCGGCACTCCGGAGAACCCCACCAAGACTGTGTCCGCCGGCCTCACTATGTTTGGCGATAATTGCATCTTCTCGAAGGTGGACCGGAACAGCACATCCATTGAGCTCCCCGTGTCCACCAGCATCCTCTTTACCTCGCATCCTGCGACCACCCCCCTGATCTCCAATGCCTCGACCGATGGGATCCGGCACGCCTCCTCCGGAGCTTCGTTGAAGTGGATCCGCACAGCGGCGCGCGCGCTGGCGGTGGCCGACCTAAGCCGCCTTCCTTCTTCCAACTTCTGCCTCAGATCCACGGTGCCGGTGATAGCTTCAATCGTCAATCTTACTCTGGCGGGGTTGGTCTCAGGTTCAACTTCGAATGGAGGGGGCGGCAATCCCTCGCCTCCGCCCAACGCTCCAATCCGGGCGTCGTCCGTCTTCCCTTCCTCTACGCTTCTCGGAGGCGCTGCCACCTTCTCTTCTTGTGCCATGAATGTTCGCTGTGCCTTGTCCTCCGCCTTTTTCACAAAGTCGTTCAACATCCCCTTGTCCACCAACCCCTGAATCTCCGACTTGAGTTGGTAGCAGTCGGCCGTGTGGTGCCCCCTCTCGCGATGGAACTCGCAAAATCTGTCTAAGTTCTGCTCATTCGGGCGCCCCCGCATGGGGCCAGGCCAGCGCAGGTGGTACCCCTTGTCCCTTGCATATTGCAGTACATTCCGCAAGGTGTCATTGAGCTCGGTGAAGTTCGTCACACTCCTGGGCGGGAAGCGTGGCGCCTCGAGTCGGCGGACACTCTGGGGATAGCCCTGTGGGCCCGGCGGGGCGGGGGGTGGACGGGTTGCCCGCGCCGCCTCGGTCTCGTCGGGGCGTGCCTCCCTTCGCTCCATCCTCCTCGCCGCTAACGTCTCTTCCAACATGATGACTTTCTGCACCCGACGGTCCAAATCCTCCGTGGACACCACATCGCGCTTCGAAAGCGCCCGGCAAAGCTCCTCGCTATTGGTGCACTCGTCCAAGCAACAGCCCAGGACCGGGGGCTTGACGTCCTTGACCGCCATTGCTACGGACATCCACCGCTCATAGAAATCTCGAAGCGCTTCGCCCTTTCGCTGCCTGACCTTAAACAACGCGCTGATTGTCAGGTTCCGGCGCTTCCGGCTGGCAAACTTGGAGAGGAACATGGCCGCAAATTGCTCAAAGCTATCGATCCTCCCTTCTTCGATCTGATGATACCAGTCCAGCACCACGCCGACAAAGGTTGAGGGGAAGGCGCGACAGAGCGTGGCGTCCGAGCTATTGTACAATTGCATCTTGGTGAAGTAGTTGTTCAGGTGGTCTTCCGGGTCGGTCGTGCCGTCGTAGCTGGGTAGCGCCGGTATGACCGAGTTTGCTTGCTCCGCCAGGACGCTTCGCGCCAGCGGCTGGCGTACTCCCCACGGACGCCCCAGGCGCCTGGGCGCCCATGCGTTGCGCTCCTCGTAGTCCGACGCCTCGTGCCGTTCCGGGTGACCTGCGTCTTCGGTGCGTCTAAACGCGCTGGTCATCCCCTCTTCCTCGTCCTCGCGGTCCCTCTTCCTCCCGCCGTGGGGAGGCGCGACGCCCCCTCCTTTCTTTAGGACCTCCACCTCCTTCCTTAGAGCCTCGAGCGCCTGGGCCTGCTCCTCAATGATGCTGATCAGGTGTTCCTTGGTCAACGTGTCCCCCTCCGAATGTGCCGTTCCTTGCGCCTCTTCATCTCCTCCCTGCGCCTCCTCGGAGGCGTGAGGTGCCTCCTCCGAGTCAGCATCGTTCAGGGCGCGATTCCCCTCGCCTTCCCCCTGGGCCGCTTCTTCCATCATCGTGATGCTCGTAGTGGTTATACCCCCCTATCTGGCGCGCCAATTGTTTGTGCCACGTACGCCTTGCCGTCGGCTGATCCCTCGAACCCTCTGGACTTTCCCCACGCTTCGCCCCCCACGCTTCCCTCCTGCACACAGCGAGGCGCCCGAACCCCTTTGCAAGGGCTCATTAGCACTCCAACGCTCAAGTCAGGATGAATTCTAGAGAGAGAAGTGAGATGTAAGTTTTAGAGAGAAGTTATGACCTGAGTAAATGAGCTTCACCCACTTCACTATTTATACCCGAGGTAGGGCCGACCATTGCCCCCCAGATCCGCCCTACGTCATCTCCTCATTAAATGCACTGTACCTTACTCCTCCCTGGCGCCCCGACACTCTGACACCGGTCGGCGCCACCGAGGCGCCCGGCCCTACCCTTGTCTCCTCCGTACGCTTCTGACCGTTACCCCTTCTCCTTGTCGTCATGCGCCCCCTCTTGGGCCCGGACTCACCGCTTGGGCCCTGGCCTCTGGTCCGCCCTTGGGCCATACCTCTTCTTTGCCAGGCCCACAGTCATACTGGCCCTTCAATTGGGCCTTTCTTTGCATGCCCCCCAACAATTTTCATTAGTGGGAAAGTGTTAGTAAATACTAAATAGTATAAGATCCATCATTAAATCTTTCACAACAACTCACATTATTGATACTAAACGGTCTTCTCAAAGCACACCATTCAAAAACAAATGTCTAACTAAATCATGAATAATTGTTTGATACATATAGAGTGATATTCTTGATAATTCGACATATATTTAATTTACCAAGTTTTGTATTTATCACAAATGATTTAAAAATTAACAAAACTATTTCGTCATAGTTATTTTTTTCTAAATGGATCCACACTCGACAAAATCCTGCCTACGCCCTGAATGTGGGTGGTGGGATTGACACGGTTGGTTTGTCAATTAGCGAGTATCCAGTCATGTTCGATCAATTGTGTTCAAATCAAAATTTTAGTATCCTAACTATAGTAACAAAGACAAGGCAATAGATGATCTCAATTACGTCGTGGCGACTTTATCATATCATGGTAGACGATTCTCATTGTTGTGCGGCATAAATGCACATGTTTGCTTTTTTTATTCATGCAAAGTACCGTTACAGTCCTTTAAAACACAACCTAATTTGTATCAAAATAAGTCCAAGTTATGGATCAATCACGTCAACTAGTTTAATACTTCTTTACTTGCTACTTGCTGAGGACAAATATAATGACTTAAGCCAGTGATCATATTCTCACTAAAAACAACCATACGAACAATTAGCTAGCTCTAAGGCTCCCCCGGTCCGCCCTTGTATTTCAAATTTGAACTCTTGTGGCCTTATTCACTTATTCAACTTTTCCTTTTCCAATTTGTGCCAACCTCTTTTCCCCTTGTTTTATTCATAGCATAAATTTTCCACAGTCAAATAAAATAACGTATTTTCATCTTCATCCCAACTTACTTAAAATCCCCTAACCTACACCCTACCCAACTCGACAATACACCTGTCCTCCCCCTTGTGACAAAAAAAATGAGAACAGAAGAAAAGAAATTCCCTCCTTTGCCCGGTTTAACCTTCACCACCCAATTGGTTGGTTCAACCTTCACCAACGGTCCTTCTTGTTCCACTATTTCCTTACAAAGAAAGAAAAAGAAATGGCAAGTCAATAAACAAAGAATGGGAACTAAATAATTCATCCAGGCTCACAATAAAGGTCACTTATACAAAATGATTTGCTAACTTAAAACATTTATACATAATGGTCACAATTCTTTCTTTTCCAAAATGGAGTTGTACCTTTATTAATTGTACCAAAAAATATTTCATTGAATTTCTTTTCCAAACTGCCCATGGACGTGATGTAGTGGTTCGGAGTTTAGGTGTGCTTTGATGCATTTTCATTAGTTTTTTTTATCTGAAAAAATATTTCCCATCAGTTTGACGAGTCACATAACTAGGGATGATTTCGTTACAAATTTCAAAGTCAAGCCATCATTTTGATTACAGTAGAAATTAAGTGATCATTTCGTATTAAAGGTGAAAGCTACTACGCCAACACTTTGGATAATCATCTAATACGGACCTAAATGAAGAATATGCACAACACGCTGTAAATGAACGGGCAAATAAAATGGAAGTGACAGCCCGACAGAGAACGGAAAAGGGTTGAATTTCAGTTCAGCATATACGGAGAACCGCGTAAAAGGAAAGAGAAGAGAGCCCCCATCTGCCAAAAAAGGTAGCTTAGCTTCACTAGCATTTAAAAAACAATTAAATATATATTATTGACTAGATTTTTTTACCTCTTTCTTCCTGATAAAACCCCGTCTCCACTCTTCACCACATATTTATTTTCTCGCCTGCGATATTTTCTCCCGATCGTCCTTTCCTTTTCTTCCAAATCTCCTGTTCCTCCGGCAACCCCAATTCCGCTCTGCACACTATTAATCACCTTCTTCATTCAATTGCTTCCTCGGTTTCTCAGTTTCCCCTCTCTTCTCCTTCTTCTTCTCCATTCTCCTTTTACCGTTTCTCCGCTCTCTTCCCCTCTGCCGCGGCTTCCCCCCCTGATCGAGCCACACAGCCGCAGTGTGGTTCGATCCCTGGCGCGCACAATCCAATTCCAGCTCCGCCGCCACCGATGCAGGACGTCGAGCGCGTCGCCGATCACGCCCTCTTCGGCAAGTATGAGCTCGGCCGGCTCCTCGGCTGCGGCGCCTTCGCCAAGGTCTACCACGCCCGCAACATCGCCACCGGCCAGAGCGTCGCCGTCAAGGTCATCAACAAGAAGAAGATCACCACCCCCTCCATGATGAACAACATCAAGCGCGAGATTTCCATCATGCGCCGCCTCGGCCACCCGCACATCGTCCGCCTCCACGAGGTCCTCGCCACCAGGACCAAGATCTACTTCGTCATGGAGTTCGTCAAGGGCGGCGAGCTCTTCGCCAAGATCTCCAAGGGCCGGTTCAGCGAGGACCTGGCGAGGAAGTACTTCCGCCAGCTGATCTCCGCCGTCGGGTACTGCCACTCCCGTGGCGTGTTCCACCGCGATCTGAAGCCGGAGAATCTCCTCCTCGACGAGAGCGGCAACTTGAAGGTCTCCGATTTCGGCCTCAGCGCCGTCGCGAACCAGATCCGCGCCGACGGGATGCTGCACACGCTCTGCGGCACCCCTGCCTACGTGGCGCCGGAGATCCTCGGGAAGAAAGGGTACGACGGAGCGAAGGTCGACGTGTGGTCGTGCGGCGTGATCCTTTTCGTCCTGACGGCAGGGTATTTACCCTTCAGCGATCCGAATCTGATGGGAATGTACAAGAAGATTTACAAAGGCGAGTACCGCTGCCCCAAATGGATGTCCGCAGATCTGAAACGGTTTCTGTCGCGGCTCCTCGACACGAATCCCGCCGCGAGGATCACCGTCGACGAGATCCTCACAGATCCGTGGTTCACCAAGGGCCACAAGAAGCCGATCAGGTTCCACGACGAGGAATTCACGACCGCCGACAAGTTCAATTCCGATTACAAGGAGAGCGCGTCGGAGGCCAGCACCAGCACCAGCAGTAGCTTGAACGCGTTCGATCTGATCTCGTTCTCATCCGGCTTGAACCTGACCGGCCTGTTCGACAACACCTACAATTCGATGGAGGACGGCGACCGATTCGTGACCGCGGAGTCCCCGGAGAGGTTGTTGGAGAAGGTTCTGGAATTCGCCCGGTCGGAGCGGCTGAGACTGAAGAGTAAGAAGCTGTACGGGGTGGAGCTGGAAGGGCGCAACGGTGGTGTGAAATTCGAGGTCGAAATCTACCGTTTGACCGACGAATTGTCTGTCGTGGAGGGGAGGAGAGTAGCCGGCGACGCCGGGAGCTACAAGGAGACGTGGCTCAACAAGTTGAAGCCGGATCTCCTCGGTTCCTCTCCGGCGCCAACTGCTGGAGATCAAAATCCCGTCGCAGCTGGCAACTGAGAAGAAGGAATTCGTTTTCGCCGGCGCGGACTTGTTTGTTTGTTTGTTTTTTCGTAAATTACTATTTTCCAAAATGTAAAAGTGTGTGGCTGTGTGAAGGGGGGTGGGTGTGTCAATCTGTGTGGGTGTGGAATTTTGTACCAGTAAAAAGGTTAAAAGGAAAGTAAATTTAAAATTGGGGGCTGTAGTGAAAAAGAGGGGGGGATTTTTGGTGGCAATAATCTCCTCCTCTTGATGGCCCCACCCAATTTGTGTTTTCACAATCACTGTAAATAGTAAAAATATACACACACTGGGAGAGAGAGGCAGAGGGGGGGGGGGGGGTACTTAAGTCTATTACTAATAGTACTTAGTTATTATTAGGAGTGTAATGCTTCCAAGGATGAAGTCTGGGGAAAGACACTCAAATCCTTGGAGAGAGACTCAATTCCCTTTTTCTACCCACTTTTGTAAAGAAAAGAGGGGTAAAAGGAGGATTTCACATACAGAATGTGACAGACACAGTTGAAATGAGAAATTGAAATTTGGTATTTTCGTTTCTCATAGCCATTTCATTATTATTATTATTATTATCATTTCTTTTTAACTTAATAATAATGCCGCTTTTGTTGATTGCTTGATTGCCAATTGGGCACTGAACAATCAAGCAGCGTATGTGGTCATAAAAGTGAACAGCTAGCCATGTGCGTGGAAGGAAGGTTCAGAATCCTGACAAGTGAGAAAGCGCAGTCATATCTTTTCTTTCATTATTTTTTATTTTCAAATAGAAATTTTAAAAGTAAAGAATAATTAGAGTTTGGTATGCGTCGGTCAAACAGGCTGAATTTCAAGTTTTGGTCCGTTTTGATCAAGTCTAATTTATAATCACATGGTTACCTGATACCCGATAAAAATCTCAATCCAAACCAGTTTGGCAGGTGAGTCTGTGTTTACCACCATTTTCTATGGATACAGGAACGGTGGTTCCTATCCCAAATCGTGTTGTTCATTCTTGATTTCTTTCGATTTTATCTTGGCTTGGCAAAAAACCAGAAAGCACAATGATGACAAGATGAAAGTTTTATAAAGGAAATTAATCAGCCAACGAGCCGAGTAAAAGCTAGCAACGATTGTGAGATGCTCATTACCCGAAAATCGGCGGGATAGGCGATTTTTTATTCGATTTTCTGGAATTCGGTTTCTATAAAACTTACTCCACCTCATCATATTACCAGAAACAATATCGTTTCACAAGGTAACAAGTACTTAAGTTTGGTTCATAATGCTGATTTTTGATTCGTTGCATCATTCATGTCTCTTTCCTACTAAAATTCACTATTTTTATCACGTGTTTCCCAAAAAAAAAATTATACAACAATAAGTTATACACCCTATTACATTATCAAATTTCATACTCACCTGCCTCTGGCTAAATGGCCGGAGCCCACGCTAGTAAAGTTATAAATGTCACCCCCTCACAAGATCTTTTCAGTAAGGTTAGTCCCAAATTGTCTCTACCTTTTTCCTTTTTGGGTCTAGAGAAGAATGTTTGGCACATCTCAGTAGCAGATCTACAGTGTTACAAGTTACTACTATCAAACTTTTGGTAAGAACCCACAAGAGAAAAAAATGTTAATAAGAAGGCCGTACAAGTTCTATCAATATTAATAACATGATACCCTGAGAATTGATTCGCCATTTGAACTTGCAAATTGTTCGTTGGTCTTAGTGTAATGAGATATAATGTTGGCGTAAGCAAGAAGACAAATGCACCGGTAACCTGTTCTTAGATGGTACCGATTCATGAAACTCAGGACCGGAGAATTACAATTTACCATACTGTGAGAGGTTATACCGGTGGCGGTCAACGTAGCCAAAGGCCCGGAACCTTATATTATAATCACAGAATTGAAGACAGAAGCAATCAATTCATATACCCATCCACGTGCACTCTGATGCAAATTTCTTTCGAGGAGAATTTGAAAAATCCTGAGCAGGAGCAGAAGGGAATTCAAACTTGTTGCATGTTAACAAGATTGGAAATTGGCCAGGACAGGAACCATGTGCAATGTGCTGATTAGTGGGAGCTACATCCGGCGGAACTTGGGTGAACCCGTAGATGGGCCGGTTTGCATTGCAATCCTCTCAAACCCACCACTATAATTAATAATGCATGTACTAGCTCGATCGAGCTTGCATGCCGACTTTGCAGGATCTATTCTAGTTTAAGGTTCATTTTGTATTAAAGTATATTACCCTTTTCCCAAAAGTTCTTCATTATTCAGCAAATGGCAATTATGAACATAGAATGGATGGGGTTCCTATTCAATTTCAACCATGAGATGTGAGGGAGGGAGGGTGGTTAGCTAATAGCTAGTGATCGTGTGCAAAGTTTGAGATCAAAAGCTCACATGGCCATACCACGAGCTAAGTGTAGTTCAGAATGCGCTATATCCTCGTCAATATTCGATGTGTGGCTATTATGTTTCGATCGTAGAAGAAACAAGCATTGATAATTGACTCGTCTCAAACAACTGCGCCTGGCTGCTTTCTGCGCTTTGCTTGCTGCTATTCCCATAGATAGATATAATGGCTTCTTATATCTCCAGGGACAGGGAAGGAAGGAGCCAGATATAATTTAATGGCTTCTTTTTTCTGCATGTACTAGTAGCCCTATCTGGTTCAGAAACCTAAGTAATTCAAATTCAAATCACACTAGATCCCATTCAGCAATTTTGTTAAGTTTAACATACCCGTCATTGACTTCAAATAGAAACCCACAAAAAACTCGAGTTAGAAAACTAATAATTCAGAGACTGACGCATGTGGCATTCCAGGTCGAAGGTGCCCAGCAGCCCAACGCCAAAAGGCACAATAACAGAGCTGAACCATTGACATTCTGTTCCCCACCCTTCTTCTTGCTATGTTTGCATCAACATCTAATCCACTGGGGGTGATATGCCTGATCATGGCTTGGCCGTTGGAGCAATTTTACTTCTGTAGAACACAGATTTGCGTTTCAAAACTTCACGATGGCTCCCTGAATAGATAACTGAGCAGCGGACCGACGACTGCTACGCTTAAACTATTCCCCAGCAACGCATAACTACAAATACCAGAGAGATGAAGCATTTCAGATAATAGTGGTACCATATACTTCGATCGTAAACAGGACGAAAAACGCGAACATACCGTTGTTTGAGGGTTATGTGCTCAGGGAACTGGAACTCCACAGGGAAGGAATGCATATTAGCAACCTGGCCATGACCAAGAATAAGTCGATCAGAACAGTCAGGGAGGTAACTAGATATTGAGTGGATAAAAGAGCAAATTCTTCTACCTCTCTCGGAGTGAAGTATCTAAGTCCTTGCTCCTTCAGCGGACAAGTTTTACCCTTTTCCACTGGCTGCACATTCATTTTCCACACATCAGGTCAGACATGATAAAACATTCATCGGAGCACCGTCTAGAATGAGTTACAAATTGGTTCAAGTAACCAACTATTGCCAAGGACCCAACGCGAGTAGTCAAGCAACCAGAAACAATGATCTAATGCAATCTATGGCTGGATTCTTTCTACTTAAGGTCCAGAACTGAAAAACTGCTAACTAGCAGGCCTTTAACTACTAAGTCAAAAAGTAAAAAAAATTAAAAAATAAACTTGATGTGCTATACATCAAGGAGTTTAAATATATTAACAGAAGGATGGGTGGGACTTTACCTGGATAGTAGCCAAAAGCGATCCAGTGCCTTTCACATATCTATAATAACTCTTTGTAAAACAACAGCAACGCTTTGAATCAGGATAGACAATATCTAGAATCCATAAGGAACTTTGGGAATGAATTTCTTGCTAAAGTTGACGACTGATGAAAATAGAAAGATGACGAGAAAGCACAATAGTTAAAAGGATACCCATAGCACTGCCCCATCTATCGATCAGATTCTGTGGAACCAAATACTGGTCCAACATGCTAAGGCTTCCACTGCCATGGTCCAAAGCTCCAAAATCAATGGCAGAACTACTGGTTGTGATCCTGCCTTCTGCATCTACTAGATCACTCAAGCCCTTGAACTCAAGAAAACATTCTACAGGTTCACAGGAATCCAGCAACTTGTCCAAGCTTTCTGGTGGTTCCTCGAGTTGACCTAGTAGAATATTTGCATTACACTGAAGTAATGGGATAGGAGACCAGATGAGCCGATTATTAAGGACTTGGTGCTGGAAGGATAAAGGTTTTCGTTTGGCCTGCAGGGTGAAGAATATACAGTTAGAATCCAACTCGTTCCACATTTATTTTGTTATTTGTTCCCCTGAGACATCTAGCACAATTCAATGACAACAATGAGCATTAAAGGATTGGCATTCTATAATCTGCAGTGACATAAGAATCTAGCAAGAGATGACTAATTTCTGACACTATTGAGCATTCAAGGTATGAAATGATAATGGTTTATGAATTATGATAACTAGATGCAAAGAAGTGCGAAGTCGAGCAATCGAAGGAGGGGGTTCGATGGTTTACCAAGCAAAAGTAGCGTGGCCTGGAATAAGGCACACCAAACTGTAAAGGGCTCAAAATAAATTCTTGGGTAATGAAACCTGAATTCACTAATATCTCAATCATTTTTGCTCGTGTGTCAGAAGTCTGCAACCAGAAAAGCCAAATCAGTCGAATAACACAAAAGACATTATTGGAGATGAGAAAACTCAGCAAATGTATTAAGGAGCACACCTCAAATCCTACAACATTTTCCACAAACAGCATACTTGGAGGCCGTTTTGCTTCTTGTATAAGTTCAAGAATCCTGAGAAATGAAAAGGCTCTAGCATCACCTGAGTGCTTCTGCAGACCTAATATAAGCATGTTCAGCCAAAGTCATCCATAAATCAAATAACAAAACAGGAAAAACAAGTGAAATGGGTGTTCTAACCTTGTCTGGTGTAGGGTTGACAAGGAGGTGAAAGAAGCCATGCATCGGCACGGTAGCTATCAAGATCAGAAGAAGTCAAACTCTGGATATTACCCTGCAATACAATGTTTTCAAGTACTGTTAATCAGTCTAAAGCAAACAATACAACAGAAACTATTTATCTCATCAGCTTAGATTGGAAAAATGTGCCAAATTACCACACGGTCGATGGTTTTCATACCTGATAAGGGCGATGGCCGAAATTGTGCTCATACACATCGTTGGCTGTGTCATTTATGTCAAATGCTTCCACAACTTCTGCTTTCACGCCAGCCTTCATTAGAGAATACCTCTGGACATGACATACAAAACAAAGGAAACATATCACTAGATGTACTTCACATGAGCAAGCAGAGGGTGTTAGGATAGAGAAACAGTGTCAATGTGTACCATGCCACCAATGCCACTATAGAATTCAAGGATCCGCCATGGCTCATCTTTGTGCTTGAGAAAACTTTCCTCCATGACTAACTATCTCTCACTATATTACTCTCTACTTAACTGAATAAACAAGTTCTCCAGTCCTGTATTCCGCATTTCCAGAAAATGAATGAAATCAAACTAACGACCATTAGTCACTGTGAGAAAAAAGGTTAACCATACTGCTACAACTGATCAGTAAGCAACTGCAAAGAGTTTACAGTCTCTGGAGATAAAGCAAAAGCCTGCAACCGAATCAGAATTACATGAAAAGAAATGCATAAGTCAATTGTTTAACAGACACAAGAACCCTAATGAAAATTTTCGGTCATATGACCTGCTGAACTTTTCATGCTGGCATAAATAGGGCTCACAAACTGAACTGAAACAATTCCAAAGAAAAGACAAGACTTTATTGAAACCCAGATACTGGGTTCCTAAGAAAAGAGCTACTCTTACCAGTAGTAAGACTTTCAGGGGGCAACTAAAGGCAGCTGCGGGAGGAACGAGACGAAGGTAGGCAGGGAGACTGACGGCGGGAACAATCGAGCGGCGCCGAGAACAGTGCGAAGACTTCAACTTCTACAAACCGCCGTTGCCAACTATTGAATTTGCTGCTCGCCTTTCTTTTGTATTGCTCTATATTTGCTTGACAATTCAGTTCCAGCGCCAAGTCGCCGCCGACGACGACATTCCAGCAAATTGTGACATTGCCGAAGGGTTCTAACTTGTAAGGATGAACGAAATTATACCTTTGGTGCCTAAAGTTAAGGATTATTGTTAAATTTCGGCAAAATACACTGTCATAGCCATAACTTTCACGTTTTTTACAAACATAGCCATAACTATTGGAAAACACAAAATAGCCTAAAAATTGGATGCTAGTGTGACAAATCTAGCCATTTCCGTTAGAAACTTTAACGGTGTTAGAGACTCTGTCAGTTAGGTTAACGTTAGGCTGATTAGGATGCCAAATCATCGCAAACGTCAGCGACAACTCAAACACACTTAGGGGTGGGCAACGGGACGGGACGGGATACCCGTCCCGTTTTAAACGGGTACCCAGTCCCATTTGGAGACCAAAGTCCATCCCATATCCCAAACTTATATGGGAAACGGGTACCCATTACCCGTGCGGGACGGATAACGGGTACCCATACTACCCATAAAATACCCAAAGTTTAAAATTTAAATGACATCACATTTTCCCACTGCATCCCAAAGCATCCATTTTCCCACTGCATAACAGCGAACCAAAGACAAACAAAAGACAAAATCCAGCCAAACAAGGCAAACATCCCAAACCCAAAGCATCCAAACATCCAAAGCATCCATTTTCCCTCCGACCTCCCAGAAGTCAGAACAGAGAAGCTGCGCCTGCGCGTCCAGACCAGTCGTGAGTCGTCCAGAGAATTGGGCTGCTAGGGCTGCGCGTCCAGTCTCAAGTCAACTCTCACGGTCTCATACTCCCATTGCAGTGGGTAAGGGCCGAAAATTATTGTTGAATTAATGAATTGGGCTGGGCCTGGGCTGATTTAATAAATCTGTCTTTGTACTTTGAATGGGTAGAACGGGTACCCATATTACCCAAACGGGTATTAGCGGGTAACCCGCGGGTACCCATATTAGGACAGTACAATTCCAAGTCCCATCCGTTTACAATATTGCGGGTAATATGGGTACCCGTAACCCTTAAAAACGGGACGGGTACGGGTATACCCAAATACCCGTTTCCCGTTGCCCACCCCTAAACACACTTGTCATGTAGATGCCATGTCATATTTCAATAAAAATAAAAAATAAAAATTCTTTCCGTCACATTGATTTCTTTTGCATCGCCAGTGGCTCAAGGCCTCCATCCTCCATAGCTCGCCGAACACAGTAGCTGATCGAAAAAATAGAAGAAAAAACCCATCTTTGCGAATCTCTCCATCATCATCTCGACTTCTGCACACAAAGTTTTCACTGGACCAATAATAACCTAAAACCCATCTCTGGCGTTCATCCAAACCCCCCCAAATTGAATAACCCATATGTTTGGGGCTGCCATTATCATACTGGAATCAGACGAGAAGAGAAGCTGGAGTCAGTCTTGAGCCGGAGTGGGTCTTCTTCAGCAACGACTGCAATGGTGGGCGCTTCTTCTTTGTTTGAATCTGTCAGCGGTAGGGGTGGATGAGTTGTTGGCGGCGGTGGCGACATCGTGATGGCGACGATCGACGTCTTGTTGCTGCTGCTGGATCTGGACGTAGAAAACGTGGCCGAGATACAAGAACGGAGCACCGCTAACCCCCGCCATCGCTGTCGTCGTCATCGGACCTTGCCGTTGCAGCCTTCAGATCTGAGTTGTCGGCGACGGTGGCGACGGTCGACGTCTTGTTGCTGTTGCTGGATCTGGACGGAGAAAATGTGGCCGAGAAACGAGAACGAAGCATCGCTAACCCCTGCCGCCACTGTCATCGTCATCGGACCTTGCCGTTGCAGCCTTCAGATCTGCTGCACCTCCTCCATCGATTTGTCACCAACCCAGATCCCCAATGTCAATTTCCCCATCTGCGTTGCTGTTAAATTAAGCCCGCTTCCGTCCCTTCCAACAATCGAAGCGTCGTCCCTCACCAATACAGATCGTACGATTTTACTATCTGATGGAAAATGGAATAGCAATTGAGAAGAGAGGGGAAACATCTTTGTGACGGGAGAGGAAAGATGAGAGAGGGGAGAGAAAATAAAAAATTAAATAAATTAATTTTTATGTTTTTTTATATTTTTTTCTCTATAATCCACGTCGGTTGGTGGGGTAAATCAATCGCCAACTCAGCTTCTTCTGTTAGTCCAGTCATAACGTCAACTGACGTCGTTAACAAAATGGACGGAATTGGCTATTTTGTGTTTTCGGATAGTTATAGTTATATTTGTCACAAACGTGAAAGTTATGCCTATACAAGTGTATTTTGCCTTAAATTTCCCCTTCACTTTTTTTCCTGTTTTTCAGTTGAAATTCTAAAAGTGTAAGATAAAGAAAAGGGAAGGACAAAAATTGATCTAGATAAAATTTGGGTTAGACATATCACAAACATAATATGAATAGTGGAGAGTATGCTTCTAAACAAAGTAGTTCTATCCCTAAAAAAAAGTAATTGTAAGTTTGTAACATAGACGTCTCGCAAACATAATTTGCAAAATGAATAATATTCTAAAATTTTACACGAGAAAGTAGGGGAGGAAAAAAAATCTTCCAAGATTATTTAAGGTAATACATAATTGAACTTGTGCTAAAAACCTCATTTCAAGAATGACTTGTCATAGTTGTATTTCCTCAAACAACAACAAAAAAAAAAGTAGTTACGTATTGGACACTTAACCAAATCACACACATTTGTGGTTTACATCCAAAATATCAACAGAAAATAAAAACATCTTCAAATTTAAATTTATCAACATAGACTACTAGCAATCTAACACCCAAAGTAACAAGGTGAAGAGTTACACCCAGCCCATTTTATTCCACACCAAAAGGCAGATTAATTGCTTATAACTCCACCTAAAAACACCAAAATCCAAAGTACAAAATGGTGCAAATGTGTTAAGAAGTTCCATGTCATCTAAGTTAAGACGACAAAATTTATTCTCTCGCTGAGTCGATTTTCGATTGAATTCACTCGTCTGTTTAGCTCGTAGAATTGCGTTATCGAAAAGGAGCTCAAATCACGATCTTTTTCGCGTTCACCAAAAGGCGGCTTCTTTACGTTAGATCCTACATGCTCAAATCTCTCTGTTCATGCTTCTCCCCACTGCCCCAAATCGCATAGGCCTCCTCCCCGTGCGCCGCCTCGTCCCCGATCTCCATGTCCTCCTCCGACATCCTCAGCGGCACCACCAGCTGAATCAGCAGACAAATGATGGAGGTGGTGACGACGTTGAGGCACACGACGAAGACGATGCCCAGCAGCTGGACCCCGACCTGGCGAAAGCCCAGCCGGAGTTGGCCCATGTTGAAGCCGTAGAACAGGCCCATGTACTCCCCGTACGTGGCGTAGAACAGGTCGTTGAGCTTGGGCTCGGCGAACAGGCCCGTCAGGATCCCGCCCAGCGAGCCCGCCACCGCGTGGGTGTGGAACACGGCCATCGTGTCGTCCACCTTCTGGAGGAGCTCCCAGTTCTTGTGGACCACCATCATCGTGAACCACGGGATCGAGCCCGAACACAGGCCCATTATGATTGCGGCCCATCCTTGCACCACGCCTGTGGTGGTAAACAAAATCAAATACAGTCAACTAGATGAATCACTAATCGGTAAAATGTTACAAGTAAATCAATCGTATAATAATTACTTACCGGCGGCAGGGGTGATGCACACCAAGCCGGTGATCATGCCCTGGATGGCGCCGATGATGGAAGATTTCCGGAAGAAGATGATGTCCAGCGTAAGCCACGTCAGCAGGCTTGTGGCTGTGCAGACGTGTGTGTTCAGCACTGCCAGCGAGGCGTCCACGTTGACTGCAAACGGGTCGCCGCCGTTGAACCCAGTCCAGCCCATCCACAGCATTCCGGCGCCGAATAGCATCAGGATGATGTTGTTCGGCGGGAACCTCTCCCTGTCCTTTGTCAAACGTGGCCCAACCTGTCAAAAGAAAATGAGAATGTGACCAAAAAATCAACTGGTACGATAACTCGAATTAAAAATTAATTCATATGTGTTAAACGTCTGCACAAATTTGAATATCATGTACTTAACAAATAAAGGTTAACAAGATTCGAACATACAATCTCTTAGTCACAGAAAGCTGTCATACAATGTCAAGAACCAATCTGTCCAAATAACTTGAATTGAGTTGTTGGGAGAGGTCGATGTATAGTAGTTAATCAGTTTCTTACACGTTGTACCAAACAAAAACTAACTAATCTATATGTTTTAAAGACAACGACTTACATTAGAAATCGTGAAAATTTGAACACGTAACCTCAAACACAAATTAATTATAATATCATGTTATAAACCAACTGATACGAATAACTCATGGAAGTCATTATATAGTTAAACATTTATCATAACACAAAAATATTTTTCACACGATGAATCTTCTCAGGATAGGGATAATATATAAAATACGTACCCAGTAGGCAGCAGTGAAGCCGGCGACACCAGACGACAAATGAATCACATACCCACCGGAATAATCAATGAGCCCCTTCTTGAACAAGAACCCATTGGGGCAAAATATCGTAAAAGCCCCAATCGTGTACGAAAACGTCAGCCAGAGCGGCACGAACATCATCCAGGCGTAGAAATTCATCCTCCCCAGCACCGCGCCGGCGATCAAGATCAACGTAATGGCGGCGAACACGAACTGGAAGTAGACCATCGTAGCGTTGGGGAACTTGTAGCCTCCGTACGTCTGCTGGAGGAGGAAGTCCTGGGTGAGCGCCACGTTGGGCTTCCCCCAAAACGGCAGCAACGTGTCGCCAAACGACATCCGGTACCCCCAGGAGACCCAGCAGAAGAGCACGCACGCGAAGGCGTAGAGGGCCATAAAGGCCGAGTTCACGGCCCACTTCTTCTTGACCCCGCCGCCGTACAGGATGATCAGGCCCGGCACGCTCTGCAGGCCCACTAAAGTGGCTGCGGTGAGCTGCCACGCGTTGTCGCCTTTGCTCATCCATTCCGGGCTGCCTTCGTCTGCGGCCAGGTTCAGCGGGAGCACGAATGGGGCCGGCGCCGCCGCGGAGATGGCCGAGTAATTCATCCCCTCCTCTAGTAGTTTCTCTCTTCTTGTTTTGATCAACGTTACGTTGACGTTGAGTTAGTAATTATTGGGGTGTGGAATGTAGTTTTGTATTTATATATGTTGTTGAATAATGTTGGGGGTGTTTGGTTTGGGCTGGCGGGGAAACTGTAGGTGTTTTACCGGCGTTGTCTATGTTGGGATCCAAGAATTATAGGCCAGATCGAAAGCTTCCCAATTGAGCCTTGTTGGGCGATGATTCTGATCTAAGCGGCGCTTCATTTTTGTTATTTTAATGGTGAAGAATTCTTAGGACAGATCAATGAACGCATTCCTCTCCTTTCTCAAGATTCAACTTGCATACAGTGACTGGATATATTGTTGAGAAATATTCTGTACTAATCTGTATGATTCAAACCATATGTCATCCTCACCAAAAGTGTATAGACAGTAAGCATATATATGTCGGACTAAAACTTGGGTGATTGATCGAAATGGGCAGTTAATTTTGAGCAAGTAAGTAAACGGAATGGTCACATTGTGTTGTTTTTGTTGTCTTTTTAAGTCTTTTGAATCTTGGATAAAAAAGCATTAGTGGAAGCAAACTTAATATTGAAATCAAACACAAAAAAAAGAGAAGGAACAAACATAAAAAACACACACCAAATTTACACGGAAAACCCTAAAAAACGAACGAACAAAAATTAGGTGATCTTAATGCCTAAGTGGAACTAGACATGATTAATCGGCGTGAGACATGATTAATCAAAGTAATGTCCACTTAAGCTACTTGTGAACTAAGGATTAACAAAAGGACAACTAATCTTTCCAAAACGATGTCATCTCTATTTTCCTTGTATTAGATGCGTTCTTCACTCCACCTTCTTTGATTTGGAACTGCAATTTTAGGTCAAATAGACAAAGTCTAAAAAAATCAAAAATCACACGAATTCTCATTGTCGTTTCATTCCCTTTGCCCTCTGTCCTGCTTTTTGTTGTTACCGACTTCAGAGCACCCCCAAACCAATAATATTTCAATTCTTCTCCAGTTCAAGTTGACCCAACCCTCTGGCCTATTTTTTCGCCATCGTCGACCAAAGAGCAGCCACAACCAACGACTTCTTCATTTCTTCTCCAGCTCTGGTCGACCAGACCCTCTGTAATTTGCCCTGACCCGTCCATGTACTGTCTCAGACCCTGTCTGACCCGTCCCTGAAGGGTCAAGATGTATAACTGACCCGTCTCTGTCTCCTTCTTTACCATGTCTGACCCTCAAGGGATCGGACGGGTAGGGTCGGGTCAGTGGGTCAACCCTAATCTACACACTACTTTTTTACAAATTACATTTTGATACCCAAATTATTATTTTTTACAATTTAGTACCTAAAATTTATTTTTTTACAAATAAATCCTTCAATTTTGATGGTAATATTACATTTTGGTACCCGTTTTATTTTTGCAATTTAGTACCTAAACTTTTTAAACTTTTACAAAGAGATCCAATATGGTATGAGATATTTGTTGTTACTAAGGGTCACATGGTCAAAAAGTGACCCGTCCCTAAGTTGACCCGACCCGTCCCGACCCTTATAGGGTAAAAAGCTGACCCGTCCCTAAACTGACCCTATAGACAAACTGACCCGTCCCAACTAGGGATGGCAATGGGTCGGGTTTTGCCAAACATAAACACAAACCCATGGGTTTATTAGTGAAAAAAAGGGGTAAAACTCACTGGGTTTGAAAAACTCAAACCCAACCGCTGAGGTATCCGCGGGTTCATGGGTACCCATGGGTTTTTGTGGTAAAAAATTTACAATAACAAGTTTCTATCAAAATAAAAGTCAAATATCAACACCAATCTAGAAAACTCAAGAAAATTGAAGCAAATCACAAATTATATATAAACAACATGATTAATTGAAATCTTCTTCCTCCTTGTCAATTAAGCTTCTTCACTCTGCACTCGATAATATCAACTTCATTCTAGACAATTAGAAAGAAAAAATTAGACATGTCTCCACAAACATAAAGAAAATTAGTTGTTTAGAATATTAAATATACCGGGAAAATTAATTATATGGGTGTGGGCGGGTACCCATCGGGCGGGTTTACCTAAACTCAAACCCAACCCAACCCGGTGAATAGTGATCTGGTTTAAACCCAAAACCCGTCAATACGGGTTAACCAGCGTTGACCAGGTTGGGTCGGGTAGGGTACCCGTGGGTTCGGGTTTTGTTGCCATCCCTAATCCCGACCCTCAGGGACGGGACGGGTCAGTGGGTTTTTAGGGTCAAATTTACACCCCTACTCCGCATTGCTCTTCATCATCGTCACTTCAGATCAAGCCAACCCACGACTTATATAATCCTGCGAGTCTAAAAAATCATGACATATTTTGTTTCTCGTTAAGAGTTCGCTAAATTACTAATCATTTAAAATTGAACTTAGTTAAAAAAAATATTATAAAATTGTTATTTTTACCAAAAATTTTATATATTGACTTAAAACGCCAAATGCATTATTTAGTAGGGGTGTTCAAATGGTTACCATGGTTATTACCAAATCAAATAAGGCTAAATTTCATTAACCAGGAAATACAATATCATAACCAAACCGTCCAAACTAATACAACAACCAAATTAACCAAACTAAAATTTAATCGGTTTGGTTAATTGGTTAACCAGATTAACCAATATAAAATCATATAATCATTAAGTGAGAAAATTCTCGGTTAAATTATCAATTCAAAAAAAATATAATGAATAAAACATTCTCATAAAAAAAGGGGTAAATTGCAAGGTTAGTCACTGAAATTACTAAAAAAGTTTATGTTTGGTCACTAAAAATATTTAATTCCATTAGTGGTCACTAGCTTTAGTAAAACATTTCATATTTGGTCACTCTCTGTTACCTTCCGTCAGTCTCCGTTAACACTATCAATTATTTGCTGACGTGGCTAACAGACTCGCCTTGTCACATATTTTTAACCTGAAAAACAGAAAAACTACCCCTGTCAATTAATTAAAACTTAACCATCTGATCCCGATAAAAAAACCATCTAACCAGTAACCCAATGATCACGACCCAACCCAAATTAAAACCCATGTTTCTCTTTTCCGTTACCCAACCCAAGCACTGATTTCCCCAAAAAAAATCCCCTTTTTCTTCCCCGAAATCACTGGTATATGTTCTTGCTTAGATTGCACACATGCCGGAGAAATTAGGGTGAACTCTCGTAGATCCTCCTCCAAGGCCTTCACATGGATTTTCCGGCCATTTTCTCCTCCTCCCCTGCAGCTGCAGCTGATGCTCCCGTGAGTCCGATTCTTCCTCTGTTCGGGATACGCTTAGCGGCAGCCGGAATGGCTCCGCCGGGAGCTTGCCGGAAGATGGGTTGTTGCAGATGCCGGCGCGAGGGAAAGAAAAGTCGAGCGGCGCTGCGGAGTGGGTGTAGGCGGAGCTCGAGGCTAATTTAACTTCCTTCTTCACGAACTCAACCATCCTTCAACATCCCAGATCTATTATGTTTGGCTCCACCAACGAAATCGACAAACCCCTATATTATCTTCAACCCTAGAAGTACGATCTTCCTTTACCGTTGCCAACACCGCGAAGAGAGCAACTGGAGCTCGATGAGTTCACCGCGGAGGGAGGTGAGAGGCGGCATCTGGAGAGGGAGAACGAGAGATCATCGTTGTGTTTTGTATTTAGGGTTTTGGATTTTGTACTATTTAATTTCATGTACTGATTTAGTGATGAATTTATTAGGAAGGCAGGAAGTTTAGTTTGGATATGGAGAAGTCAGAGAGGTATGTGTTAGATTCAGCTCGCCAACGGCAAAATTTCATGATCATTCCCACAAAGCTTGAAGGCCAAGTCAAGATTCAAATCTCAGCTGAAAATGTGGTGGCTGCCCAAAACAGTTAAGGCAAGTTCTCAAGTCAAAAGAAGAAAGTATAAAAACCTACCTTACTTGAAGATTTCAAGGGAAACTTGAAAGGGCAACGACTAGTTTGTGAAGACTATAAATAGGGATCAGATTGAAGAGCTAAGCAACATTTTCAAGTGATCAACATAGCTAGCTAAGACAAAAGGGGATTTTGTGAGGGTAGCAAGGTTGATAGAAAATGGGGTTCTCAAAGGGTTCGGGGAGAATTGCTTTGAGGGTTAGTGTTGGGGAAACACTGGTACGAGTTGCTGGGGAAGCAATTTGGGGTTTGATTAGAGAGAGTATTGATCAATCGAGTGAGATTCATCAAGGGTTCTTGGGTAGATAGTGTTAGAACGAACTTCATCGAAATACCTTTAGTGAATCGTCGGAGATCACTCAATTGTGAGTCTCCGACCGTGGAGTAGGCAGTATTGGGATCCTCATTCTCCCAATACTGGAAACCACGTAAAAATCGTGGTGTGTCTTCTCATTCTGCCTCTCGGCTTCTGCTGTGTATGTCCTTCTGTGTGTGTGTTCTGTTTTGTGCAGGAAAATTCACTCAGGAGCAGATAGGGAAGAAGTACTGTGAGGACCGGGTTGGGGAACTTGTTGGAGTCGAGCTTGATTTGAGCTTCACCGCAACTGCCTGGGTTTTTCACAGCAGAGTTCTTGCTGATCTTCCCTATTCTTCACTTGAACATAAGCAAAGTTTGTTTTTTATCTAAGTCCCAAGCGGGAAGGGCAACTTGATTTGAATTAAAACTCGGTCATTTTGCTTTCATCAATTAGAAGCTGGGTCGGGACGAGAATTGAGTGGGCAGGGCTTCCGGGCTGGGGCTATTACGTCCGAGTAATCTAAGTATTAGGGATTAGAAGCCCAGTATCGTGAAGTTAGGTTAAACTTTAATCAGACTATCTTAGTGTGTCATTATACGCCTAGGCCTAAGGTGGAAGGGTCTAAGATAGTTAGAATTAAAATCCACTTTGAGATTAATTTGTACTAATCATTATTATTAAGGTTGATTTGTAGCCAAGACAGGTATAATGTCTCGCGCTCGACGCAACCAACACGTGGTATCAGAGCACGGTC